AGAACTAATTTACTGATAGATATGTACAATTGATATTTACAGTAAGTTATATAAGGTAATATACAATATACAACAGACTTTATGGATTTAAGTTACAAATAATGGATAAGGTACATTAAGCTATAAAACCCTAGTGCAATGGGATGAAATGGAATGAAGCAGTGCAGAATAAGAAGATAATAAGTTACATGAGTTAACAGTTCAATGGATGTAAATAGTGCAAAGATACAGTAAATTTACAGTATCTGCATATGTACAGTACAATGTGCAAATGACCAACAGAGCAGTATTCTGTGAGTAGAGTATGTGTAAATTAACACTATGTGCAATTATCACACAGTTATACTTGCTGCAGTTTTGGTATCCTCAAGAACAACTCAAAAAGGGGAAAAGAAAACTGTCTGTAGTATTAAACATACTAAGGCTGGGGATTTGGAGGATCTAACAGAGGATCAATGAGCTATTGGTTAAGGGTTGGAAGTGTAATTATAACTCCTACAGTATTGCATTATTTGGAGTTTAAGTCTAATCAGAGTTATGGGACAGCATTTTAAAAGCTATGGCATTACCATTCTCAACTTTACATTAGCAATCAAGTGACCAAAATGTTACCTTTTAGTATGTATAGAGGACACCTGCACACTGTAAAATGCAGGCACTGTAACAGTAAAGAGATCAAAGGTCAGCAAGTTAAAGCAAATAAGGATAAGGATAATCACCTTTATTGGCCAAGTATGTTACACACAAGGAATTTGTTTCTGGTACAGAACCGATGGCAGCCATCTACGGTGCCACCTCAACTGATGGCTGTAACCATCGGGGGCAACGGGGGCATTCAGTGTCTTGCCCAAGGACACTTCGACACGTAGACTGCCAGCACTGCGATTTGAACCTTCAACCGTCTGGTTGGGAGACGACTGCTCTACTCACCACACCACTGTCGCCTCCCCCACACCACCAGAGGAGGGAGACCTAGAAAACAGGTCTATTAATTCATACTTCCACTGTTCTTTAATGTGTTATCCCATGAGCCCTAGGGGTAGTCAGAGGTGTTACCCTTTGGCTTTAGAAATATAAGTAATAATAATTATAAATAACAATTATTGAAGGCACCTACATGGGGGTGGCTGCCTGGGGGGTTTCAAAAGTTAGCGAGAAATGCAGAGATTAAATAGCTTGATCTGAACAGGCTGTAAAAAAAGGAAATTATAATTTAAATGTTACCATTCACTCCAGTGATGAATGCATGGATGCTTTTTTCATAAAAAAAAAAAAAAACTTTGGAAGGAAAAAATGAAGTGAAAGGAAGTATTTTACGGTTAGCAGCAGGCGACTATGAAAAGCCATAGCAAATCTTGCTTGGTGTTTACACAACCAGTCAAAAGTTTGCATGCACATTCCCTTTCAATTCAAAGAGGAAAGCGTGCTCAGACTTTTGACTGGTGGTGTACACTTACTGGCCCTTCACTCATCATCCATGTTTTTCTACTAGATTAGCTCTAAAAGAAATGGCTGGCATTGCAATGACATGTGGATCTCTTGAACTGTGAACATGGGGTTAGAGAAAAGGAGCATATTATGTATTTAAATTAACTGAGAAGCTTGCAGATGCTGGTGCCGTGCTGGTTTTCTGCTTCCAACAGCTGCTCACTTGCTCAGCCTAAATTGGGGGAAATCTGTGCAGAGGATGTAAGTAAGGCTCATCTGCCCTTCCACTGACAGATGCTGCTACTGCGATGTCTCTGGCCAACATTTAAACTCCAGGTGCTGCTGTGGGTGGCCATTGGAGGGTTTCCAACATTCACAGCTCAGGTCATTAGGTGGTCTAAAGTTAAAAAATAGCTCTGGAGTTCCTCAGTACAGGGGAAAGATTGTCAGTAAATAACTTATGTTTCAGACTGACATCAGAGTTCAAGCTCATGGGATAAACAAGCCAAATAAAATACTTCTGCACTTACAGAGCCATATGTTTATGTGTCATCACCTTGATCTCTTAGGGTAGCTTGGTTCATTTAGTCTAGCTAAAGAAAAAAAAACATTGTTGCCTAACACTTCTGGTTCTGTTCATCTTTATGCTGACATTAAGTACAAAGTCAGATGGAATGAGCTGGTAGCTCAGTAACTGGAGAGTTTTAGAGACTGCCATTCACATCATCAGCACTACATTAAAACCTTCTGGTGAGTCTCAGTAAGTCATGCTGCAGTTTATGGTGCCTTATGTGTTTATTAATTAGAACAAAGAAGAAGAAATGATCCCTGTTACAGTAACTGGGACTGCAGCTCATTTTTAGGAATAGTTATGACAATGCATGACAAAAGAGTTGTCGTATACTGAAAGAGAAATACAGTAGTTACTGTCTAATCACATTTTGCTTAATATCTATGGGGAACACTTCTTTGCTTGGACTCTTTAAATTCATTTCTGATTCATTAAGGACAATCCCATTGCTTGTATGCTGATGGGCAAGAGTATTATCATGGTTATTAAATAATTTGCATAAATGTATGCATCACTTAAACATATCACCTATAACAGCACCTCCTTGATAGATGGATTTAATAACTGTTTTGCTAATCCAAATATTTATATGGCATTAAATACTTTACCAAATCTACTTGTAGCACAGTAGGTATGACTTCTTTTAATTGTCTCCTATAACCTCATGTAAACTCAGCTCTAGCATGTCTTCAAATCAGCTTGACTTTTACCAGCTTTGTTTTTTCTAACCAGAGTTCCTGCTAAGTGGTTGCATCTTTGTAGAGGTGTTCGTATGTGTCAGGTGTTTCCTTCCCTTTGCACCCACACTTCATTTTCCCAAGCTAGCCATACCCTCTGTGGTAAGAGGAGGTGGTGGATAAATGGGCTTAGTAAATGACTGAGCTAAAGGGCTAGCTGCACACAGGCACACAAATACACACAGAGGTCACTGGCATATTGAGCTACATGCATGCAGTGCTGCAACAGCTCACCCTTAGTGACCAGTGTGTGTTAGTCTGGACTCAGCTGTTTGTAACCAGGAGAAGAATCACTTCAAGTAAGAAAGGAGGAAAATAAATGCACACTACAGGAGTTTATCTTGCCAAATAGACTTTGATGCACTGAACTTACACATGCATGTTAGGAGTTACCAGGATTTCCTTTGCTGCTTTTCTAACAGCATGCAATGTTTGCTTCTACTACACTGGACTCACCATGAGGGAAAAAATAAAACTGTTCTGAATATGTTTTAAAACAATCTGATACATTCCAGTGATTGGACTCTTTTGGAAGGAGGCCCTGATTTTCCTCAGACATCCCCAGAGAGTTCATCATATGCACTGACTTTCCTTGTCTGGAAGTCACCTGTTAAAACTATCCAGCGGAAACATCAGAAGACTGACACATATTTGTATAAAGCATATGCCAGAGATACAAAATGGTACAGTAAATGGAAACTTACTATACAGTACCCTACAAACACAATATTAAAAACTCAGCTCTAACATCTAATGAGAAAGACACACAAAGCCTGACACACAAACAAAACAGTCAGAACCAAACACACTCACCCACAGTGCCTTACTAAGAATGTGTGCCACAATAGCTAAACTGCGTTAGTCCTGTTTAATGGCATGAGGGCGAATGACAGGGGAAACCAACAGTGCATAAACACTTAGTCAAGTCTAATTAAAGTGAGAGCTAATTATCTGACAGTGACGAAAATCAGTGGTTATACACCCAGTTATTTCATTAACTGAGGGAAAATGACACCATCAACATTGCTCAGCCGCATGGCAGACAGAAACACAGATGACTGAAAATAACAAATCATACATGTTTGAACTTTTTGGTCAAGTGGCTACATGGTTACACCAGTCATCACCAGAATTTTGTGTAGTAAAGATGGTTGTAAATGTTTAGAGTTGTTACAGTTAAACTTTTGCTTGTTCTCATATTTTGTCCCTGCTGGCCCCACTGTACCCCTTCTCCAACTGTCCCTGTCCCAAATATAAATCACTCACAGGTGTTCTGGTGTTCACAGGTGTTAAGGTTGTCCCCATGTGAGGGTGCATGGCAGGTGGTGGATCAATTAGGTACCAGTGCAACAATGTAAAAATACTCATGTAAAAGTGTTACATTTACTCCTACTTCAAAATATATAAAAGAGCAATAGTATTACTGAAACAGTAAATGCGCTTAAAATATCAAAAATTACTCATAGCATATTAATAATGTAGCTCCTCAAGCCCAACCTTAGTGTCACCACAAGATAAATCAAAAATGTTCTGCTGCACAAATCCATACATTTGGACAGTTCTTTTTTTGTGAAATGTTTGATCATTGGACCTTTTTGAAGGTTAAAAGGGGAAATCACCCTTTGACGGATCAACCAATGACTTATTGCCATCTGAAATATGTCAAAACAGCTCAAGGACACACTAAATCGTAATGACTCACAAGCCAAAAAGGCTTTGAAATCATTAGAGGAATCTTCATATTTTAATGTAAAATCTTAATGTGAAAAGTAACAAGTTACTATTGCTGTCAAATAAATGCAGCAAAGTTTAATATTTCATTGGAAATGTAGTGGAATAGAAATATAAAATACTGTAGCTATAATGGAGAAATAAATTACAAGTGCCTCACAATTTACTTATGCATATTACTTAAGTTTATTTACCCAGTTACTTTCCACCACTGCTATAATGAATTATTTTTACATCCCAGTCTTTAGCAGGGGATTCGTAAACACATTTTCAATCACAGATTTGTAATGTTGATGGTAATGGTGAAGGGATGTTGTCAAAGTATCTCTGTGCTACCACACTGGCTGCCTGTAATCCCTGTAATCTAAGAATTTAGGTTCAGTGAAAAAATAGAAAACTACAGATGTAAAAATACATTTGAGTTTAGTAGCAGAACACTTCAAAGTACTTCAGGTTCCTCATAGATGTGATACATTCTCACGCAACTAAAGGATGGAAGAAGTTGAATTTAAATGTGAGACTTAAACACTCACCATTTGTGACTGGCTCCTGGGGCTGCCATTGATATCTTCCACCTTCTCATTTGCTGGATGAGAAAGGAAATGAAGAAAAGAGATTTTTACTGTTGTCCGGTACTGAACTCTAACATCCTGATGTTCAATGACTTTTGAGTTCAAGTGCACAAATCCTGCTAGAAACCGCTTTTGAGGATGTATAGGAGAGTATGAGTGTATGTACACTTGTGTGTGTTTGCGTGTATGTGTGTGTGGAGGTGTCGAGCCACTTGGGAGAGGTCTGGAAAGTAAAACTGCCTAATTCGTCAGCTGCCACCAGAGAATTACTGACAGGCCAACTTGGACTCTTTGTTTGTCCAGGTGAGCAGGGAGGGTAAAGTTTCAATCTAACAGAGAAGGAGACAGAGAGAATGACAGAATGAGAGAATAGTGAGATGAAAGATATTTAGGGAGACAGCATCAGTTAGAAAGACAGCACATGTAAAAGGAAGGAAAATGTGTTTGTGTGTATGAGTGTTATAAACAGAGGGGAACGAGAGTCCCATATAGAGAAATGTTCAGAATAGTGATCCAGACACAAAGAAAGAGAGAGAACCACAACAGTGAAATAAGAAAAAGAATGTGTGAGAGAAATGTGTCTGAAAGAAGGAGGGTAAAAAGAAATACATTTCAGCAAGTTGCTAGAAATTTAACCAATTGCTCACTACTGCACTGTGTGGAAAAGTAGTTGTACTGAGGTTCAACAAGCAGTCAGCCTATGATTTGGAGGTGTGTACAGCTAGCTTAGCCCAGGGGGTTGCACATAAGAACCCTGCCCTCATAGTGATTTCTTAGGTCCACACACTCTCCTACCATTCAGACATGGGTTACAGACAGCAGAAAGGACCTGCCACAAATGTCAGTAGTCAGACTAGAAGCGGTGACATCACACAAGCAAGGAGTTTGTGTATATGATGCACCACACCATAACCATTCAGCTGTCAGTGCGACCCGTGCAACCTGCACCCTGAACAAAACTAGGTGACTCCTGAGTGTACTCAGAACTTACTGAGCAGTCCATTAGTTTACAATTAGTCATTGCCTTAAAAAAAACGTGAGTGTTTCCAAATATCAAGCCTCTATTGGCAGGACAATATTGACCATATAATGTGGCTTCAGAACATTTTCATATCCCTTTACCTTTTTTCATGTTATTGTGTTTAGATTGAATTTTAAATACACAAAATTGCTAGTTTGCCCATCAGTAAATAATGAATAATCATCTAAATTGTGATGAGGTGCATTCTATTTGGATTTTCCTTAAGATATGTCTAGAATTTCATTGGACAAGGACAGGGAGACTGGTCAGAGCTGAGGGAAGCATGAATGCAGCCAGAGGTCTTTAAAGAAAACCTTCTCTAAAGTGCTCAAAATGTGAGCCTGGGGTGACGGTTAAACTTTCAGCATGACAACGGCCTAACATGCACAGGACATGACAGCACTGGAGTGGCTTCAGGACAGGTCTCTGACTGTGTTTGTGCAGCCCAGACTTAAACCCCAAAGGAGAAATGGGATACACTGCCCAAATCCTGGTGCAGAAAGCTTGTGGAGACTTGCTCAAGAAGACTCAAAGAGGCTTCAACCGGATTGTGCCTGAATACTTATATCAATGAAGGATTTCAGGGTTTGATTTTAATATATTTTCAAAAAATCTGAAACCACCCTTTCACCTTGTCATTATTGGTAGATTGATGGGAAAAAAACAGCTATTCTATCTAAAATTAAATCTACAACTGAGTTTGAGCGGCACACATTTTTGTTACAGTAGCTATCATAGTTAGGAGGACGCAAAATTAATTCAGACAACTTAGGAGTCATTGTAAGGTTTATGTCTTTGTATTGGCAGAGGCTACAGTAGCAAACTTCCCCCGCCTCCCGCTGCTATGCCAAGCCAACACAACCCTGACCCATGCAACCTTCCCCCGCCTCCAGCTGCTATGCCAAGCTAACACAACCCTGACCAGTCTGTCCACAAGTTGATCAATCAGCCCAAGTCCAAAGCAAGAGAAAAGTAAAAAGTAAAGACTCTCTGGAATCCAAAGAAAGGCACATGTCTCTGCACACCTGGGTGTCAGAGTCATAGATCTCTGCTGCAGCACCTAAAACAAGAGAGCTGGTGTGATTTGGCCCAAATACCAGACTAGGGCACAGCTTCTCCCCAACTCCACAATTAAAAGCAAAGAGCAGAGTGCGTATGTGTGTGTGGGTGGTTGCTTCATCTACAGTACAACACAGAATAGATTACTGACATATGTAGTGTTTAATTATGGCTGGTGAAATGTGGATTTAATTTTCTGTGTATCATTAATATTAAGTATTTAAAGTTGTACGTGAAGCAAGACAATTGTGTTGACAAGTTTCTGTGCTGATTTTTATTCAGACTGCAGTTGCGCAGTAACTTTATTCATAAATTGAAAAATAATATTTGGATAACAGAACAATAGATACAGTACTACATAACAAAGAATAAATACAGTTTATGTACAGGTGTATATGTTTGTGGATTCCTACCTATGATCTGGATGATCTGTGCCAGCAGGACTCCATCAGTGACGTCTTGGCTCAGGTCCTCGATGAGGCGTGGACAACCAGACTTGGCCAGGTAGTGATTGGCCCAGTCTGTGTAAATCTGCAATGACAGAACAGATACTCTCAGTGTGTGTTTGAGAAACAGACACAGAAGAGGTGTGTGTATGTGTCTGTCACAAACACTATGAGGTTTTACTGATTTAGTTTTTGACATATTAGACCAGTAGTTAGACCATTCAGACAGACATCACAACAATCCATGTGTTCACAGTCACAAAAATACAAAGTTCCAGTGCACACCGGGGATGTCTAAATGCTCGTTTTTATTTAATATGTCAGCACAAGTTTGTGAGCAAGGCATTTTGCTTTGCAGCTTCCTCGGGCATGCTCAGGCTTTTACTGTAACTTAAGTCTTTTTGAGTTCTTGCATGAAAGGGGTTCATGGAAGCAGATCTGTAATCTAAATTATCACCTACAGTAGCAAACAGTTACATGCCTTAAAAACACTTTCTAACATACAGTATGTATATACAGAATGCTCCTCATAACACAATTACAAGTTATTATTTAAAAGCAGTATCCTTCTACAACATTTTTCTTTTTTGACATTTGCTTTTCAACACAACATTATATTTATTGACCTGATGCAACTACATACTGTATATTGGCTGCTGAAAAGCCTTTTTATTAGATATTTTGTTGCAAAATTAAGCTGCATACAGTACAAGCTCCCAGAAATAATCAAAATTATGCATTTATTGTCACAAAACATGGCAATACATAAAAAGCGATGAGTGGGGCAGATGGCTTGGTTCTGAGAAGTTAAGATGGAGCACAGGCCACACATTGTAAACTGAATAGTGTACCGGAAGGAAAGCTGGGTTTTGGGTTTATCCCTTGAAGGCTACTTTACCCTTACACCCATTGTAAAACACGAGAAAAGCACTGAAATCTTCTCTTTACTGTCTATCCCAGTGGCACACAGCCCCAACTCTCTGCAGTGAAGTGGTAAATCTCCTGCCAGGAAGAACAGTCCAATCGCAGGCTCCCTGCACATCTCCATTAGTCAAACACTAATATTTCAACAAGCTTTGGCAGGGATCTACACTGTTTATTAACTCTCTCCTTGAGATTTGCAAATTATCTCAGCAAACATTTTGACATTAGATAGATGTTAATTCAATAGCTGGTGCCCATCCTCAGTATATGAAGGGGAGTTGTGCTTAACTTAGATGAACTGTGGTTTAGGGGAGAAAGGCTTCAGCAATCCACGCTGCTCTTAGGCACTGATGGATCCTCTGCATGAAAGGGAAGAAAGATAAGAGAAAAAAGTATATATTGTGGCGACCCTGACTGGCCGCTGATGTTCGTGTGTTCTGTTGTGTGCAAATGGGTTTGACACTGTTGTGAAAGCTGTTCATGTATTGGTTACTGCTGTTCTTCTGCGAAATGCCGCGCTGTTCTGGCCAATGTGGGATGGGGGGAGGAACAGGTGCGGGAGGGTATAAGAGGGATGACAGGTGGGCGTGTTGGTTTGATTCTGTTGGCGGGAGATGGTGAAGTTCTGGGAGATGTGTTGTTTATTCTTTTATTATTTTCTTGAGAGAGCACATGGTGCCAGTTCAGACAGCGTTTTCATTTGTCTCCATACTGCGTTCAATAAAACCACAAAAAGACAAACCAGGTGTTCTCCTCCTTGTTGAGCCAGGTGCCGGCACACTGCTGGCTAGTTAACTGTCAAGTATAGGACAGGGTCAGGCCAGCTTCTCTCAACCGAGCCAGCGGTTGTCACAATATATAAAGGGGAGGGAGGGAGTGTTATGAAAAAAGTGAAGCAGAAGTAAGGCTTGTTTGGTCATTTAAATATGATAGAAGAAGGAGTATGTATTTTGGATGCACCCCACTCCTGAACTTAGATTAAAATCTCCAATTCACTAGCTTGGGCCTGCCCTCAGTGTATGAAGGGGAGCTGTGCTTAATGTAACTTAGATGAACTGTAGTTTGGGTGAGAAGGGCTTTGGGAATCCATGCCATTCTTAGGCACTGGTGGACCCCCAAAAGCTTCAAGAAATGAGAGCAAACTGGATGCATTCACTGTCCTTCGGCTTGGATCTGCTGTACAGTTGAAAGGCTTGAGAAGTCCAACACCCCGTGGTTTTGATGTGATGATTGGGGAAACCTTTACAGTGGGCAGTAGAAGCTGCTCCTGTTCTGAATGAGTGTCTGGAATAAAAGTCAGGAGAGATACCAGAGAAAGAGAGAGAGAGAGGATAATTTTGAAGTTGCATAGAAATCTTGTAGCAACGTGTCCAGAGTCAGAGACAAAGAGGAGGTCGGCCGGAGAAGCCTTGAGGTGAGTACGAAATTGTAGATGGCACTCAAGAGGCTGGTAGGGGCTTAAGGCAGATTGAAGGAGAAAACACTGGACAGGCATGAAGTTCCCCAGCTGGTTTGTTTTGATTCATTTGAGAATGAAAGTGATGGTTGATTCAGATATGATTTGTACATCGGATATGTTGGGATGAACCAAAGGATCATAATGGATGGATTGAGAAGTAAATTCAGTGCATCCTAGGAGGCTGAAAAAGGTAAGAAAAAACATAGCTTCTAGGGAAGATGAAGCTTGGTGCATGGGAGTGTGGCAGCGATGACAGGAGAGAAATTGGCAAGCAGGACCAAAGAATTGGACCAAAGAAATGTTTTCTCTGGGAGGAGAAATACGCCTTTGGAATGTTGAGCCAAATGGAGGGACAGGGGCCGAAGATCAAAGGATGAGAGAAGGCGGAGGACCCAGGAGCCCAGATGTTCCCACAAGAGGTCAACCTGTTGAGGACACAGAAGGCTAAACAGAGTGCTAGCCCTGGAAATGTTGAAGTGAAGAGGCTCCTGAGATGAGGAGGAAAACATTTCTTCATCCAAGGGCAAAAGGGACAAACAATCCATGTTGAGTACACAGAGTGTGGGTTCTTCCTTATTTGGTGGTTTAAATATCATAGGAGAATAAGGGGTATGTACTTCAGGTGTGCCCTGATCCTGAACTTTAAATTACAATGTCCAGTATGACTGCGCAAATACTGTATAGCACACAAATAAAACATTGCACAATCTTTTAGATGACTTTTGTTTTTCCTTCTGTTATAAGAAGTATGTAGTAGAAATGAAAATGCCCCAAATCCTTTATAGCAGTTTGAAAAACTCAAATAAAGATAAAAAAACTAAATACAACAGTAAATATTTAATCACAAAAAATTTTAACTAAGTAGTTTTAAATCCCTTTTATTTTAAATCCAGATTATGATTTTTGCTCCCCGTGGCTTGACTAGCGCCGTTGTGTGGCAGCCTGTCATCATCGGTGTGTGAATGTTGTGTGTGAATGGGTGAATGGTGTATGATCTCCTGTAAAGTGCTTTGGCCAGTGCAACACACTGTGAGAAAAGTGCTATAGAAATACAGTCCATTTACCATTTTGCTGTACCAGGTGGATTCACTTTCCAAAGAAACTTCTCAATCTGGAGGAACAGTATGTTGGATAATCTTTTGTATTTTCACCTAAACCTCTTAACAGACACTTTATCTTCCATTAGAGCCCATGAGCCAACTGATAAATGATGCTTTGTCAGTTTTGCAACAAAGTGATTTAAATTAATGATGCACTAATGATGAAATATGTGAATCAAAGTTGCTGCCAAGTGCTTGGCTCCAGGGAAGCAGGCATACCCTATGCTGAACTAATCAGATTCTTTTGTGTACAAATCATTTAGGATCACTGAAGCTATGATGGATAAAACAACTGTCCTCCATCACAGAAATGCTGATTCAAGCATCCCAAGCAACTTTATAACTTCACCTATGGAGTTTTTCTCTCTTTATCAAACTTTCAATGCTCTCCTTCCAGATTCCCACAGATGGCTATGGATAAAGGACTCACTTCCTGCAAGGCCTGAAGTGACATTTTGGGACCAAAAAATTCATATATTTATATATGTACCAGCCCAGATAAAGACATTGCCTGCTGTGCTGTTTCTTGAAACTTTTCTTGTTATTCACAGATTAAAATAAAACTAGAATTACTGCTTCCCAGTTGTATGCCTCCACCAACCAGTCAAATTCACAGGTGGGGGGGTTTAATTTTTGACATTGTTTTCGCAACCCTTCCCCAGTGCCATATCACCTCTTTTCGCTATCTCCTTACCTTCAGGAAGGATCAGGGGTGTAAGTTTAACACTTCTGCAGGGAAACATAAGTATACAGACCAACTGAGTGAACAGAGTGAAATGCAATAGGCAATTGTCTCCATACAGATTTAACTACAGAATTTCAAAAAATCTGCTAATGAAGTTGCTAAGTAATTCACATTTCCATTTGCCTCTATAAGAATATCAGGAGTTAATTCATAAGGAAAACAGCTGGTGATGCTAATTCTTCTGTTATGGGGCCATTAAACTACTTAAGATTGAGATGATGTGATCAAAAAGTGCCAGTAAACCACAACAACAAAAAACAGCATGTTAAATTGTATGGAAACATGACATGGGTTAATTTGTGGAAGGTTACAGTCTCTTTCCTACTCCAAACAGCTCGGAAGTTTCATCTGCCACTACTTTTTCTCTCCAGTCAGAACTTCAGTGAACCTTTTTTCTTTTTTAATTCGGCATTTGCACTTGATTTAGAAATTTGGTTTTATGCTGTATGGAGCAGTGGATTAGCAGTGTTTACCACAGCAGGACAATACAGATTCTCAAAGACTTACAAGATAGTAAACCTAGGCAACTTTCACAATCTGCTCTGTGCCTGCAAACATTTATCTTGCTGAATGAGATTTTTTTTTAAATTCATAAAAGGCTCTACTTAGGCTGAAACATGCCAATGAAGGTTAAATAAAAGTTGACTCAACCTTGGGTTTCAAGATCATCAATTACAATGACACAAGAATGAACATGACACTGATTTGTGCTTTTGTTTGACTAGTTTAAAGGCTCTGTAGTTTAAACAGTCCCATGATGGGAAAAAAGTGATTCAAGTGAACTGCAGTGACAGAGATTGCTAGAAAATAGCCTACTTTTACTTCACTGTGTAGCAGCAGGAGAATGTTTTAAAGTT